GTTTTCTGGTGGTTTATTGGAGATAGGAGTCTCACGGTCTCTCCTGCCCAGGCTGGCTTTGAACTGCGATCCTCAGATCTCAGCCTCCTGAGTAGCTAGGATTACAGGTGTGAGCCACCAGCGCCCGGCACATTGACAATATTTTTATCCTTACTAGAGAACCCAGAGTTTCTATTATTTGTTACAAGTTCAACAATGTGATTTTAGTACTTGCTTCAAAGGTCTTCAGTTGTTCTGGTCATCCTGGTTTCCCACCAAGCACAATTTTGTGTATAAATTTTGACCTTTCCTTGCTAAGACTTAGCATTCTATATATGAAGTAGTGAAAGTAGTAACTAGAATATTGAACTTTCTGCTTACTTCTATTTTTCTGATTATCTGAGAGTGCCAGATAAAGAAGCTTTTGATAGTTCAGAAAGTCTTTAGAGTATTCTAGTTGCTATGTGCTATCTATTGTTTGTCAGTTTCTTCTTCAGAACAAATATGTTTGCATTTGATGATAAGATTTACTTGAAGGAGATTATGTGAACCATATAGTCCAGTAGGAGAGAGTTTTGTCTAGGGCTATCCCAAGAATAAGTTTAAATGTCATCTGAATACTCAAAATGAGTTACTTCAAGTCAGCTGGTTTGAAGTTGAAACAGAAAAAACCCTTTATATTCCCATGTAATTGGTGTTCCCATTATCTCATCTTAAACAATTGCAATCTCATTGCAGTGTTTCTTTACCCTTCTAATATGCCTGTCTTTTGCTTTGCTTTATACTTCACAAAATAATTGCTTTTAGGTTTTTGGCCTTTAGACTTACCTGGTTTAAATCGAATTTTCCCTTTCTTTGCTACACCAGTTGTCCTATAACTTTTATCAAGGAAGGTAAGCATGTGGCATGTTTTCATAGCATACTTTGACAGGAGTAGCATCAAACTGAAATTTTTGGATGTAGAAAAATTCTAACATTTTATATTGCTTTTGAATAGGAAGGTTGTTCAGGATTCTTTGTCTTTGGTCAAATAAGTTGTATGTGAATATTAAAGTTGGGGAAGTCAGAGCAATGGAAAAGTTGAAGTTAATTGGACCTTATTTTTCAGAGTAGGTTTTCCATTCTGAAGTCAGGACCATTTGGATAGAGAGGCAAGGAGATAATAGACCTCTATGTGGGAAGATCCTTCTCTTTCATTTCATTGTATAAACTGTCATGGTGGAAATCATTTTAAATTTGACCAATTAAGCTAGTACAGTGCCTCTAGATTGTTTGTTTATTGTTTTTTTTCTTCACTTTACTCGATTCTTGAGCTGTGTTCTTAAGAATTCTTCTCTTGTAAAGCCTCTTAACATTTTTTTGGTATTCCTAGAATCCTAATCAGAAAATAAAGCATTAGAAAAACGTATTTTCACTTTCTCTCCCCTTTATGGTTGCAGCAGAGACCCAGGCTTACCCAACTATTGTGCTTCTTCTCCTTTTGAAGACACTTTTTTTTTGTAGTTAATTTGAGGTAAGAGTCTCATGGACTTTGCTGCCTGGGCTGGCTTTGAACCCTGATCCTCAGATCTTAGCCTCCTGAATAGCTAAGATTATAGGTGTGAGCCATTGGCGCCCAGTGAAGAAATATTTTTCTAATACCATGCTTTGGGGATATTTTGTGCATTTTATATGTGTTCTGAATTTTTTTTTCTTTGTGGGATTTGGGACTTGAACTCAGGGCCGTGGTGCTGTCCTAGAGCTCTTTTGCTCAAGGCTAGGGCCCTACCACTTTGAGCCACAGCTCTACTTGTGGTTTTCTGGGGATTAATTGGAGAGAAGAGTCTCAGGAACTTTCCTGCATGGTTTGGCTTTGAACCTCGATCCTTAGATTTCATCCTTCTGATTAGCTATGATTACAGGCATGAGCCACTAATGCCCAGATTTTTTGTGTGTGTGTGTGCTGGTCCTGGACTTGATCTCAGGTTCTGTCCATGAGCTTCTTTTGCTTAAGACAAGCGCTTTGCCATTTGAACTACAGCTCCACTTCCACCTTTTTGGTAGTTTATTGGTGATAAGAGTCTCATAGACTTTTCTGCTCAGGCTGGCTTCAAATTACAATCCTCAGAACTCACGTTCCTGAGAAGCTAGGATTAGAAGCATGATGTGTCCAGCCTAAATTTCATAAAGGCCTGGAGAACCTAGAAATTTAGAGACGCTCCTTCTTTCCTTCTCCAGATCACAGTGTGTTCAAGATAGCACAGTGATTTGTTCCTTACCTGGAGAATCTGTGGCGTCCACATTCTCACACAAAGGAAGTTCTAGTTGGTAGCTACCTAGAAATTCGAGTATTAGCAGAGCTGATGCCTACTCACATGCTAAGGTATTTCCTGGTTCATTCAGGGAAACATTAAGGAGAAAAATGGCTTCCACCAAGTTACAGATTTATACATGTCACCATCACTTAATGTTTTTCTTCTATTCCTTATTTCTAAAATCATTTCTCCAGATTCTTTGCTGGGGAAATTATGCTTTCTTTACCTTTATTTCCTTTGTTTTATTCCCCTGTTCTTTCTGTGGGTATGTCCTTTCAGTGGTTTGTTTGGTGTTTTATTCTTAGTTTTGTTTTTTTTGTATGTGTTTTTTTCACTTTTTTTCCCTGAACCTGTCTCCTGGTTCCTCGTTCCCTGCATGCCACTAACTATTTTCATTAGATATTAATTGATTTGTGAATTCAGGCTGAATTGCATCATCAGCAGATGGCGGATCCAGACCTGTTGGAAGAGTCCTCATCCCTCTTGGAGCCAAGTGAGATGGGAAGAGGCACGCCCTTAAGACTTGGGTAAGTACCACTTCAGCCCATTCATTCCCAATAGGATCATATTCTCCTTTGCTGTTCAGAGGAGCAGTGAGGCTGGGCATTGACTTGCTGCCTGGATGTACTTTCTTGTGAGCCTGATGAGAGCTATTTCTGTCTCTAGATTTACTTCCTGGAAGTGGCGCTGTAGCTCAAGTGGTAGAGCGCTCGCCTTGAGCTGAAGAGCTGAGGGACAGCGCCCAGGCCCAGAGTTCAAGCCCCACGACCGACAACAACAACAACAAAAAAATAGATTTACTTCCTGAGTTGTCTGTCAACTCTCAGCTGGGCCAGCTGAGGTCAGGATAAGACTAACAGGCCTTTGACCTAATAGTCATGTGTAGTGTATAATTTTTGTCCTTATCTCACTTTTTTTTTGCATGTTAGGTGAGGTAAACCTGCTCAAAGAGACAGCATGTGTTTTCTCTGCTATGTGGAAGCTAGAGCTCAGATATCCTGGGATATTATAAATTATACAGGACTATCGGCACTCATACACTGTAAGACCAGAAGAGGATATTCATAGGGGAGGAACACAAAGGCACAATGCCTATGTGCCTCTGATCATATAAAATAATATTTATTAAAAAGAACTTCAGGAAATGGAAACAAGAGATTTTTTTTCTCTGCTGTTTTGTTTTCTTTTTGTCTTATTTATTCATTTATCTGTCTTTAGGAGGATAAGGGGGGCACAGAAATGGAGGGACAAAGGGTGGACAAATGCAGCAGTGGTACTCAATGGACACTACATTGAACGTGAACTATATAACTTGTGGGTGAGAAGGGGAGAGAGCAAGGAAAGGGTGACACTGTTCAAAAAGCAATGTACTCTACTTGACTTACATAACTGTTACCCCTCTCTATATCACCTTTATAATAACAATGAAACATCACAATAAAAAAATCTAGAAGTTGAAAAAAATAACAATAAAACGGTTAAACAAAAACTTCCCATCCCAGAGTTAGGGATTTAGCTCAGTAGATGAGCACTTGCCTAGCAAGTGCAAGGTGCTGAGTTCAGTCCTCAGCTCTGCAACACACACGCGCGCGCGCGCACACACACACACACACACACACACACGCTTACATACACAATCTTCCTTACCCATGTTGTCAACTGGAGTTCCTGATCTGGCTCTTTTCCCACAGCTTCGTGGCTGGTGTGATTAACCGGGAGCGCATCCCTACTTTTGAACGCATGCTTTGGCGAGTGTGCCGAGGGAATGTGTTCCTGCGACAGGCTGAAATCGAGAACCCCCTGGAGGATCCTGTGACTGTAAGACAAGGAAATTGTGTCCTGTGGACTAGGTCTTATAAAGGGAGTCCAGAGCAGTAGTACAGCATGGCATCACCTGAATCCTCCTCTTCACAGAGGAGCCTTCTGTTTATCCCTGCTTTGATCTGAGAACTTGAGGACTGCTGTTCTTCTTTAACTTAACTACTTTCATGTATTCTGATGTGTACATGTCATATGCATATTTTCAAGCCTTATCTATCTATGGAGGTATTATCTTTATTGGAAATTTTATTTCCAATTATTTTAAACTTTTAACTTTATATATTTCCTGTTACTAATCTGGAGATCAGAGAAAAATTGCCTTTTATGAAAACTTCTGGTTCCAAATGTATTAATAGTTCATGTGAGAAAAGAGGAGAGATTTCCTAATGGAGAGATTTAATGTTCATAAGCTGATAAAAACTTTATTATCTACTTGTTTACTGGGAAAATCAGAAACTTAGTTTAAGAATAAGTATTGCCAGGTGCTGGTAGTTTATACCTGTTATAATACTCAGGAAGCTGAGATCTAAGAGTTAAGGTTCAAAGCCAGCCTGGCAGCCAAATCTGAGAGAATTTTATCTCCAGTTAACCAGCAAATAGCCAGGAATGGAGGTGTAGATCAAGTGGTAAGGGCCAGCCTTGAGAAAAAAAAGCTACAGGACAGTATTCAGGACCTGAGTGCAAGTCCTCAGTACTGGCACCAAAAATTAATTAAATAAATAAATATTGTGCAGGATAAGATTATTTTACCTACTAAGCATTTTAGAAAGTAGGAACAGCCTAGCAGCTTAGCATCTGACAATTCATAACCTACATCTATTGGAACAGGGTGAGTCCTAATATCAGGGATTATAAGCATAGGTTGAATTTACTGCAAAAATTTCACTTCATTTTTTTTTTTTTTGGCCAGTCCTGGGACTTGGGCCTGGGCACTGTCCCTGAGTTGCTTTGGCTCAAGGCTGGCACTCTGCCACTTGAGCCACAGAACCACTTCCAGTTTTTCTGTTTATGTGGTACTGAGGAATCAAACCCAGGGCCTCATGCATGCCAGGAAGCACTCTACTCTCAGTCTCACTCACACTCTCAGCCCCTGTGTGGGACTTTCTAAGCTCCTAAACAGACATGAGTAGCTTCCTTTCCTTTCTTCTATAATTCTGTCATGTAGGCAACATGAGGTTCAAAGCTGATTGGAAAATAAGCCAAAGAGGAACATATTGTAGACTTTCTTCTCTTTGTTGTATCCAAAAACCGAGAAAGATTTTTTTGAAGGTGAGGTTATCATGTAGATATTCTTTTTTTTTTTTTTT